TGTTTGAGGAATAAAGGATTCATAGACCCTAATACTAGGAAAGGCTTTGCAGCGGTTCTCAACCTGTGGGTCACGACCCCTTTGGCAGTCGAATGACCCTTTCACAGGGGTCGCCTAAGACCATCCTCCATAACAGATATTTACATTACGATTCATAACAGTAGCAACATTACAGTTATGAAGTAGCAACGAAAATAATTGTATGGTTGGGTCACAACATGAGGAACTGTATTTAAAGGGCCAGAAGGTTGAGAACCACTGCTTTAGAGAAAACAGACCCACAGAGACAAAACAACTTTGCATTTCAAGGGAGAGGTGTAGATGGATCTAAAAGTCATTTCACTAGGTTCCAGCCTTTTGAGCTTTTCGCCAGGCTACCCTGTTTTTGCCTCTCTGCTAACATCCAGCAGCACTAAGCCCTCAGGCTGTTCCAGCAATGCCCTAAACCCTAGCACTATTCCTTCCTGCCCACTTCCTGCAAAACCTTCTCATCAGAACTAAACTGCTTCTCCCGGCCAGCGTGGCTCAGTGGTTGAGCATCTACCTATGAACCAGGAGGTCACAGTTTGTATCCGGTCAGAGCACATGCCTGGGTTGCAGGCTCAATCCCAAGTGGGGGGCGTGCAGAAGACAGCTGATTAATGAATGTCTATCATCACTGATGTTTCTATGTCTCTCTGCCTCTCCCTTCCTCTATGAAATCAATAAAAAAATATTTTTTAAAAAAGAACTAAACTGCTTCTTCACAGAACTGCTCCAGCATATCCACTTCTGGGATATTATCCTAAATATATTTAAAGAAAAATGTAATTTTTTTATTTTAAAAATTATTTTAGTGGCATCATATCACAATTTTCATAAAAATGAAAAAAAGGAAGTAAAGGAAAACCTGAATGCTTTCTGACCCATTTCTCCATCAACCTACTTTCACTGTTCGCCTGCAAAGCCCTTAAAGTGCTCTCTGCTGGCAGCCATGGAATATGCCAGCGCTTTGCTGAGATCAGTTTTGGGTCCATTTTACTGTATCGATTTAAATAGTCTCTGTTATGGATATCGGGTTTGCTGAGTATAAAGGAGATTGAACGGTTAGGGCAGAAATATGTAAAATGTATAGAAAAGGCTCGGGAGGGTGTTTTCAGTTTGGAATGGGAGGCCGCCTGGGAAAGTATTGGGATGGCTGAGCCAAGGCTGTGGGGAAAGTGACAGTTTAACCAGGGAGCCAAATCGCCGGTTTCAGAAAGAGCATGACACCGTTAACTAACCCAGTTTTACCAGAGAGCAAACACCTCTGGAATTAGAGTGTTAATGTGAGTACAGTTACTGCTTTTGAGGCCACCGCATTCTTGGAGTAAGACAAAGGTAATGAGTGGCTCTGCCGGCTGAGGCTGTGGTGAGAAAACATTATATAAATGAAGTAAAGTGAGTGGAAGCACATATTAATGAATAGAATCTTCATATTTTTTATATATTTTATTGATTTTTTTACAGAGAGGAAGGGAGAGGGAGAGAGTTAGAAACATTGATTAGCGAGAAACATCGATCAGCTGCCTCCTGCACACCCCCTGCTGGGGATGTGCCCGCAGCCAACGTACATGCCCTTGACCGGAATCGAACCTGGGACCCTTCAGTCCACAGGCCGACGCTCTATCCACTGAGCCAAACCGGTCAGGGCACTTTTTTCTTTTTTAAAAAATGATATCTTTATTGTTGAAAGTATTACATATGTCCCCTTTTTCCCCCATTGATCCCTTCTAGCCCCCCAATCCCTCTGCCCCAGGCCTTCATCACCCTATTGTCTGTGTCCATGAATTATGCATATATGCATACAAGTTCTTTGGTTGATCTCTTCCCACCTTTCTACCCTCCCTCGCCTTCCCTCTGAGATTTTGCAGTCTATTCCATGCTAGAAGCTTCATATTGTAAATTTTGTGTTAAATGATGGCTTTGGGTAGCTCGGTAATTTACAAAAACATATTGCATTTAAATCAATAATGGGGGTTTTTCATGAAAAACTAGGAGTCCTCAGAGTCCTGTTATTGAATAAGTCACACACACGTTGAGAAGAGGGGGTGTTGCTTTCACTGAGTCCTGAAAAGCAGTAATCTTAAAGTTTAGAAGAGGTGTGCACGCCTAGGGGACGAATCATTATATTTGACTCAAAGCTAAGCCCTTATTTTATATTCTGGCAGGCCCAAGGGACA